GCATTTTTATCTTATTATGTACTTAAAAAACATAATAGACAAACCCGAGGACATATTCAATTTCTAGTTAAGAATTCAAATAGCCTCTCAATAATGTTGATATTAAGTAAATAAATTTAATTAAATAATTAATAAATTAAAAATTAATTTTTATTTTTAAATTAAATTTATAATAAAAAATATATTTAATGCATTTTTATCTTATTATGTACTTAAAAAACATAATAGACAAACCCGAGGACATATTCAATTTCTAGTTAAGAATTCAAATAGCCTCTCAATAATTGTTACCCTTCCGGTGTTTGGTTTAAATAATGCAATAAATTATCCATCGCGGTTCAGCGCAACGGGGGGAGCGCAACTTGCGGTGATGCTTTCCCGCCAGTTTTTGTCCATCCTGCCAAATTATCTGATAACCCTTCCGGTGTTTGGTTAAAATAAAGAATAAAATTCTCCATTACAGATTTACGGTTCAGCGCAATTTGCGTTGATCCTTTCTCGCCAGTTTGTGTCACTCATGCCAAATTATCTGATAAAGAGCAGTCCTAGCCTGCTAGGGGCAATCGCCACCTGCACTTGCCAAGCAACACTTATCCATCTATTTGGCCACGTCACCTTGCTTCCAATGTGAATCTGTGATGAAAGAGTAACCGGTTGAACTTTGAGAACTGCAAATTTCCCCTTTTTTTTTTTTAATCTTTAACAAGTTAAATTAAAAAAAAAAAATTTTAAGTTAGAAAACAAAAGTACCTTCGTTTTGCTCACTCATCCTTCCCCATCCCCTCTAACCAGCGGTGGCCATGGGCCACCTAATTTTTTTTTTTGAACATGCATGAGACATGGGCCACCTAATTTGGGAGCTCTAATGTTATAAAATTTTATAAAATTCAAAATTTTAAACTAATTCAAGCAATAATTTTAAACTTAGTAGCTCATTTTTGGTTCCCAAGTACTGAAAAGATGAAAAGTGAAGACAAACGGTTAATAAATTACACATTCAATGGTTAAATAGTTGGTACGTCACTTGACCGATAAATAATTTTTTTTTGAATATTTTGTTATGGGATCGATTCGAACCGTTGTTTTAGAGAAGGGAAATATGAACCTTACAAAGATAGCTAGAGCCACTTAATCGAAAGGTCAGATTCAACCGACAGATAATTTATTGTTATTAATTGAATAAAATGACATTTTAAAACAGAATATTAAGAAAGTTAAAACTTAAAAAATACCACAGATCTATCAACATCACGCAAATCCAATCCTCGAGGAAACAGCAATTGCACCAACTTTAACCAAATTAGTAGGATAAAATCCTCATGTCGACACATCCAAAAACGAAAAGGCTCAATTACAGAATAAGTTAAAAAAATTTTCTAAGAAAGTTTTTTTTTTTTTTCATGAAATTTCTTTAAGAATATTTTTAACTTATAAGTCACGTGTTACAGTTTTTTTTTATTAATTTATATAAAAAATATAAAAATTAATATTAATTTTAATATAATTATTAAATACATAAATTTAATTAAATAATTAATAAATTAAAAATTATTATTTATTATTTCAATACAAATTTATAATAAAAATATATTTATTAATTATTACAATCTTAATCTCTAACAACAACTAAAAAAACCATTTTTTAAAATCGAATTTTGTTAAAAACCAGCTATTAACAGTTTTCGGTCAATCCTTTTAAAGAACGTGACGTCGCCAAATAGATGGGCAGGTAGTGTTGACGGGCGAGTGCAAGGGGCGCTTGTCCCTAGCCGTGCTGTTGTTCTTCATCATCTTGGTAGGACCATCAACCATGCACAAAACAAAAAGGTGATTGTTAAATACATAGCTGATACGTCTTACTAAAATTTGAGATTAACAATATAATGATGAAGTTAGTGTATATAGGTTCTAATTTTAAAATAAATTAAAATTTTAATTTTAAATTATGTAATTTTATTTAATTAAAATTTAAAAATTTATATTATTAAATGTTAATGTCTATATTTAAAATTTAAAATTTAATTTAAAATTTAAAATTTATTTTATTAAATATTAATACATACACTTTGAAAATAATGTGAATTTTTTTAATTTTAAATTGAATTTTCATTAAATGAAATGATATCATTTAAAGTTAAACCTCTAATTTTTTTAAAGTTCAAATTGATATGTACTTTTTAAAATATAATATAAGTTAATCATTTAAAATATTAAAAAATAAACATTATATTATTTAATAATTAACCATTTTCATTTTATTAAAACTCATAATATTTTATATATTAACTCATTATTAAAAATCATAATATTATATATATCAATTCATTTAATAATATATATTATAGTATGATAAAGTGAATAATAATTATAGTTGCAGAGCTAGAAAACATTTTCGGAGATGGCAAAATATAAGTTTTGACAAAAAAATGATTACTTTGTGTGTCAATTTGAAAACAAAAAAATTAGTAAATAACATTTGTTAGCCTCTAATGATAAATTAAATTAATTGTGGTTGATAAGGTAATATAAAACACCATTAGTTGAAAGATAAAGATTAATATATATTAAAAACTTGTTTGATATAACGATTTAAGGTAGTGGTTAATAGTTTTACTCGAAATGATAAAGATAATTGACAAAGATAAGTGTTT